ACCTTTTAGTTGATGCGGTAGCAGGCTAATTGTAAGTTCAGCTGTGTTGATGTTCGCTATCTATTGACGCGTCATCATCCGGAATACTGGAAAGCAGGTCGCGCAGATCCTTTTCTGTATCGCCTGTTATGATGTTAGGAGTGCGTGTTTCATAAGTCCCGGAGAGCTTCTGCGAGAATGCGGGCGGTGGAGGTAGGTTGTATGCAGGAGGTGGGATTCCGGCATATGCCCCGGTTTGTCGTAATTCTGAATCAGCTTTTCTGTTCCAGATCGGTGAGTTCGGCTTATGTAGATGCAATGGATTTGGATACGACTGTGATTGTGCTCTGTTATAACTTTGTTGGTAATGCTGGTATGCATACGGGTAGGATGGGCGGGGGACATCAGCATGTGAAGAACTAATTACTCTTGGTGGCAATTCGTTATCACGCAAAGATGGGGCATAAGAAGCGGAATAGGCATGGGTAGGATGGTATTGGTTTGATTTTTGATAGTTATCCTGCGCATATGCAGAGTAAGGACGGGCCTGTCCTCCGAGGTAGCTTGGATTGAAGCGGGGAGCACGGTACTCCCAGGGAGCATAGTTTTGGTGGCTTTGACCCCCATTCAGAGGAGCGGTAGATGTCACTGTAGCTTGTTTTTTAGTACCTCCACCGGGAACAGTCCTCTCGTTGGTCGCGGGAACGTTTTCCTGCTCAGAGCGTGTATCGTTCTTGTCCATGGTCAACGGTCACCAGGGTTGAAATTAGCAGAAGAAACGCGTACAGTGGAGTTCACGACCGCGATGGTCGACTAAACGATGAAGCGAAACCTAACCAGTCGCCCAGTCCAGCTTGTACAGGCCAATTTGAGTGAGACCTTCCACCATACAAAACAAGATCGCCCACGGGCATCTCGCGGAAAGCCTGCCGACCAGCCAGGAGAGTCTGCTGCGCAATTGGTTGCATCCGGCTTCCAAAAATGTCGTGCAGGAATTATCCGATCCGGACCGCGGCCAAACCACCGAGGATAGCCTGTTGTTTGTTCCCCAGCTTTCCCATTTGCATCGACGGCAGGTTTCTTGACTTTGCTTTCATCCCACCATAGACTTGAATTATGGGTACGCTTACTACGAGTCGTTGTCTTGAAAAGTGAGGTCCGTGGGACCGCATAGAACCACGCGACTGACAGTTCTGTTCCCCCAGCCTCGCTTGTAAAGTCCACAGAAGTCCCGCTCGAGAAACTCAAATGGGTCCTAGAGCCCAGCGCCACGGAGGCGAATACATTCTATGTTCACCCAAAGGCGGGCGGTATGGTGCTGGTTCAGGTATGCATCTGCGTTCGTCTGCTGCAAACTGGCAGTCAACTCAATTTCTAGTTGAACAGATCGCATACTCAACAATGAGGTGAGGCTTAGTTTAGATTAGCACGCACTTGGCAAGTAACTGATTCGTTGGATGGATAAAAGCTGGAGCCCATCTGTTCAGGTTTCCGCAGCATATCATGGAGCAGACGGCTCCAAGAAGCGGCACACCGCGTCACTCTCTGGCAGCTCGTTCAGACCAGCGGAGGATGGTATATCTGTCACTTGCGAGAACATGTCTGTGCAGTTTGATGCTTCAAAAAAGAGTTATCATGTTACACTGAACGCGGCCCCCGCGATGGTGATCGATTTCAACTTTGAGGCTGTTGACGGCTTCTGTCAAGTAAACGAAGGGAAAGTTCCATTCAACCACACGGACATATCAGTGGGTTATGTTTCCGCGCAGTTCATTCCCAAGGGAAGAGTCACCGGGAATGTTATTGTTGACGGTAAACTGCACGATATCGAGGGGACTGGATTGTATGTAAAGGCTCTGCAAAGCAAACCGCAATGCGCTGCACGGTGGAGTTTTGCCAACTTTCAAACTGAGAAGGATGCGTTGTTGATGTATCAGGTGGGTGTCAATATACATGTACGAGTGTTATTAATTATTTACCTTTGGATATTCCAGTACGAACTGTGTCGTGGTTATGGTTACGACTTTGATGCTCGTAGCGAGGGAGCATTGGTCTTGGACAATAAAATTGTCGCGGTGACACTCAACAATTTTGCGACGCTACTTAATAAATCCTACGACAGCTTCAGCGGTTATGAAGTTCCCTCCGAAGTATCCTACCGCTGGGAGGGCGAGGCGAAGGACGGCCGTCCTGTCAAAATCGAGATGAAGGTGGCTCTTACTCACCTTTTGGATAAGATTGACTTGCTCAGCGAGCTCCCGTTCTTTGTTCGCAAGTTTATCCAGACTTGCATTACCGCACCATTTGTCTACCAGTGGTTTGAGGATGCGAGTGCTTCTGTAACCATTGGAGAAGAAACTCACATTTTGAAGGGAAAATTGTTCCACGAGAACGCATTCCTGGCCGCTTTAGAGGATTAGATGGCAGAGGCTAGGTAGACATGTTTGACTTTCATTGTATTAATTTGATGTGGACTGGATTCTGTTACCCTTCAGAGCTCTGGTTTTACATGATATTTTTTATATACACATACTTTCACATACCCTAACTGACAAATTTCGGCCGTCTCTGCACCGATATTTGGACAAGGCCTTCTAGTAATTACCCCGATAAACCTGCCCCCATTTGCTGAATATGTAGTCCCCAAATGCCATCTTGGAAATTTCCTCTGCCCTAATAGCTAACTGCTCCTTCTCTTTCTCGTTATCGTTGGCCCGAGGTGTGTTCTGACTCTGATCTATAAACAAGCTAATTCTGGCCGCTGGTCCGTCCTCCGTGAGCAGGGGGATTTGTGCATCATACCTAGGATAATAAAAGAAGACCATCGACAATCGCTCCTGATCAGACGATACTACTCGATGAAGTGGAGATACCACCCGCCCGTTTGTTAATAAGGATAAATAATCCCCTGCGTTCACTAAGAATGTGCCTGGAATCGGTGGCACGTCCGTCCATCCGCCCTCTCCATCCGCGATTTGCAATCCTGTTACTCCGTCTTGCTGCATAATGAGTGTCAAGAATCCCCAGTCAGTGTGTGGACTTGACCCTATCCTATCCGAAGGGGATCGCTGTCCTGTGATATGATCGGTTGTTTTGTCTGGGAAGTAGTGAAACAATCGCATGAGGCTGATTGTTTCTCCTTCAGCACAGAAAGAAGGTAAATAGCCTTCGTCCATTCCTAGCGCAACGGAAAGCGCTCGTGTGACAGCTTCGGCTACTTGAACCATTCCAGCATAGAAGGTTTCCAAAGTTTTCCGCCACGTTGAATCAAGATCCGAAGTATCTGGCCATTCATTTGGACCTTGGAGATTATTTGTAGGGGCCACGTCCAAGGACCAAGGATACCCATAGCTGAACGCTTCCTTAACTTCCAGTGCGGATGAACCAGACTCGGCACCTGATAAGAAAAACACATCAACGATCTGCCGGCATATCGTTTTCAAACAGTTTGAACAAAAGGTAACCTAAACCGATATATCCACGTGTAAATCCTCCAGAGCGAATTGGAATCTTGTTTTTGATATCTTGAGGTAAATTGAAGAAATCCTGAGCGGCGTTGAAGACCTCCTTCCGGAATTCGCGAGTCAGGTTCCCTATTCCACCACTTTTGACGTAGAATGCACCATGGGTAACGCATGCCGCTGCCAGCTGCTCCACCGTCGAGGCCTTTTCTCGTGCGTTGTCTTCATTGGATGAAGCATTGTTTGCAAATGGTGTCACATCTATTATTGGTAGAGGGGCGATTCCCGTCGACATGGCTGCAAGCTTCAAGGCGGAACAGGAGTTTACTTTTGTCGCGTTTCTGACTTGATCAATTCTCCGTTGCATTAAGCATTTGGGTCCGTCTTACAAAAGTTGATTTTCTAAATTGAACTATCCTTCAGGTTAAGTTTATATCGGTTTTCACTGTCATATTCAATCACTGGGTGTACACTCTGCGGGGAAAATGAAAATCCAGGAGCGCTTTCTGAGGAATGTTAAAGGCTGATTCAAGGAAAATCATTGGACGGATTCGCCATTCATGGCTATTGACAATCTTCAATGTTGAACAGTATGCAATGGGTTTAGATTCGACGCTTATACGTAAACATGGTAAGATCCATGGATCTCGCATTTTATTTATTCCCTTGATCCTCATTTAGGGGTATGCCAACCTTAAATAGATTCCCCTACCATGGTAGCGCACTGGTCGTTGAGGGAATCGTCCGGTGCACAGTGATGCTCACTTTCCACTTTGTCTTTATCTAATTCCATGACGGCATAGAGCAAGAGTTCATGTCTCCACATTATGCCGTACGATGTTAAGTTCAAACCTTTCATGTGTTCGCAGCTCATCAACATTTGTGCTCATGTAGACCAGGCAAACATTCTAAAAAGTCGTCTTATATTTATCTAAAAATCCAAAATGGGTCATGTTCAAGTTACCAACTCTTCTGTATAAAATATCCTGATTATTGTAACGGTGAAACTAACATCCAACGAGTAGCCCTTCCCAGTTGTTTTTTTGAGCGGGTTGTTGTTTTGGAGATCATATTACTCTACTTGGTTTTTTTTTTCTCACTTCTTATGAGTATTTGTCAAATTCGTGGGCGGATAGCACCTTGGGAGATCGGAATGTACATAACGTACTTGGCCATTCGATTAGAGAAAACGGCCGAATTGCGAACAAGATGCGGACAAGAGCCTACTCAATAATTCTCGTTTTGGAACTCTTCAACATCTGGGGTTCATGTGAATGTTGTCACAGTCCAGTGCAGAGATATATTCTGACTTTTGAAAAATCACCAGAAAAGAGCATCAATCTCGATAAAAGCTGATGCTTGTTAATCATCGTTTCCAATGGTCAAGTACTCCTGAGTAGGTATGTACGTATGTAAACGTCTAAAAGCTCTGAAATCACGACGATTTGGCATTCCAATATCACGTCAAATACACGTACACAATCAACAACATGGTACGGTCCCCAGCGCCCTCCTACTTGAACAATTTCTTGATACTCATGTTTTGCTCCGAGTCCTTCTTTAGTACCTGTGGATTACGACTGAAGTTAGTAACGAGTATAAAAAGAATTGCCAAATATCAAAACAAACCTTTGCAACAGCCATCTCAAAGTCTTCCTGTGTAACATGCACACGCCGTTCCCTAAGAGCGTACATACCCGCCTCTGTACAGATACCCTTCACCTCAGCCCCACTTGCACCAGATGTCTTCTCCGCAATCTTCCTCAAATCAATTCCCCGCGTCATGTTCATCTTCCGACTATGAATCTTCAAAATGTCCGTTCGCGCCTCTTCGTTTGGTGGAGGGAACTCGATTTTTCTGTCGATTCGACCGGGTCGAAGAAGGGCTGGGTCCAAGATATCGATACGGTTGGTGGCCATGATAACTTTGATGTTTTGAGTCGCTTCGAAACCGTCCAGCTGGTTCAGAAGCTCCAACATTGTACGTTGGACTTCAGAGTCTCCACCACCTGATCCAGACTCAATACGACTTGATCCAATAGAGTCAATTTCGTCCATAAAGATGATCGATGGGGCGTGCTCACGCGCCATGACAAAGAGCTCTCGCACCATTCGACTGCCCTCCCCAATGTACTTTTGCACCAGCTCCGATCCACTTACACGAATGAATCGACAATCTGTGTGATGTGCTACAGCCCTTGCCAATAGCGTTTTTCCCGTTCCTGGGGGACCGTACAGCAGGACACCTTTTGGCTGAGCGATACCCAACGAGTCAAACAATTCGGGATGCTTGACGGGCAGCTCAATGACCTCCTTAATCTCCTTAATCTGATTCGTCAAACCACCAATCATCTCATACGTCGAATCCGGCACCTTCTCGACCATCATCAAGCTAACCAGTGGATCCACCTTGTTTGGCAAAATTTTGTGAAGCTGATAACTGTCATGGCGAAGGGCAACGCGAACGGTGGGAGTTAATTGAGCAATATCAATCGAGGGATGGATGTCCACAACGTATTTTCCTTCCGGGTGGACCTTGACGAGAACCTTTTTCTTTCCCATCAATTTCACGACTTCACCAACATAGGAGCCTGGTTCCTGTAGAAGCTGGAGCTCCTCACGTAGTAGACGGACTTTCGCATTCAGTTGATTACGTTGTGCCTCAAGACGCCGAAGGTTTTGCGTCATGGCAGAGGCTCGGGTCTCTAGCTCCTGTGCGGGGGAAAAGAACGCGTCATAGAATCATTAGAGAACGGTCGCGCACACTACTAAATGCAGGACGTAAATGCTCTCCGATGTTGCCATACACCACTTAATTTGAGGTCCCCTAGATGCAAAGTTCTCCTACTCTAGTGAGCACAAGCGGCCTTCGCACTCACCTCGATCTTATTCTTGTAATAAGCCTTGATGCCTTCTGATGACTTCCCCATGGCGAATACTTGTTGTATAAAGACAAGGGTTTTACGTGCAATACAAAGGATTGGAATAATTCAGAAAGAAAGACAATTGCCGTGTAACGCGCAAAGGTGCAGTTGAGGAAATGTTCAACAGTCGAGGGATGGCAAAAAGGATCAAAAAGGTCGCAAGCTGCGAGAGAGTTGAACCCCCTCCAAGCCACCGCCATAGCTGAGCCAGATTGTGGCGTTAGACGCGTCAGCAAACTTCAAGTTGAAGATTTCAAAACCAAGATGAACGATGAAAAATAACATTGGTGATATGTAAAAGATGTCCGACCGCCCTTGACAAATACCGACTAGTGTATCATAAAAATGCATCAGCAGGAGCTCCTACACTAGCTACAGCTAACTACATACAACATCAGCCCTATGTACAGTTATATCCAGACAGGATCACATTGATCATTCTCTTGGCCGAGGTGAGCTCTCCCCAGCTAACCATTTCAAAACTGGTTCTCCATCACTCTCAACAGTCTCAGTACTCTCGTATGTTCTTCTGAAAGCTTTCTTGTAAGCATCCACAACTTTGTCTGCAACCTCCTTACTATCGCCTGGCTCTGTCTTCATAGTGTCGTACATTGATCGCTCAGAAGATGCAACTGTTGCAAAAGAGTCACGGAAGATATCATACGACGCAGTCGTGTATTGGCTCTCCGAGCTCAGCGAAAACACACGGGACGAATGTACGAGGCGCGCAGCTAATGGGGGCGCGGCAAAAGAGTCATTTCGAGAACCCTGTCCCCCGGACTCTTCACATGCGGCTTTTGACGCAGCTGCCGCTACCATCGCAGCGGCCGCATCTACACCACCGGGAGACGGCGGTAGAGGATCCTCATTGATGAATCGCATAAGGGAGGAATCTGGGTTCACAGTGTTGATGGGAGAGGTAGATGCGACTGATGTGTTCCGGGGAGAGCGTGAGTCGCGGCGGGCGGATGGCGGGAAGAGGTCTTCAGTCAACTCCGTTGTGTCCGTGAGGAAAGAGTAACGCAGTGGTGATGTCGGGACAATCTGCAGCGGTATCGTGGGTGGGTCGAACTGAGCAGCGGCTGACGCCGGCGCCATACTCGCAGATTCCGTAACGGTCTCGGGCCTTTTGACGGCCGAATACAGTGAACTACGTCGTTGAAGAGAACCCTCCAAAGATGGAGAACCGAGATAGGGCATAGTTTCAAATCCCTGTTCAATTGCCACAATCTGAGGGGACGCCGTTCCTCCGGATGTTGGTATATCACGTGGCAACGTGCCGCGTAAACTACTCGACTTCCACGATGCATCCAGACTTGTGCGTACCTGCTCAAAGTTTATGGCAGCAAATACTCCAGGGCTAGGGCTAGGTACCACCTCCGGACTTTGGTCCCAAGTTCTGATGGCGGTAAGGCCTCCAGGCCCAGAACCAGATAACACATCCGGACTCTTGCCCCAATTTCTGATGGCAGCAAATACTCCAGGCCCAGAACCAGGTAACACATGAGGACCTGAGCCCCAATGTCTGGCCGATGGGTCCAAGCCGCGCGTGTTGAGGTTCAATTTCTCGCGCTCTGCATGTCTCATCCGATACCCTAGCGCCAGACCCCCTATAACCACGAAAGATACACCGACCGACATTCCGACGACCATTCCAGTATTTGATTTGTCACCATTCCTTAGTTGCTCAGCATTGGATGAAGAGGGGGGAGGCTTGCTCGAGTCCCCATTGGTTCCTGGAGCGGCAGGCTGAATAACGGGAACAGAGCCAGATACGGGTGATGAAGGGAGCGGGGGTACTTGCGGCCTTGGTGCGAGCGGCTCCGACGGTGCTGGCGGAGGTTGCGGTGGAGAGCCTGCTTTGGCGGTCGGCGGGGCTTCAACGCGATTAAGGACACCGACCCGTTTCTTTGCTGGAGGTTGGGGTGGAACGGCTCTAGTAGGGTCGGGAGCCGGATTTTGCTTGGGCGATGGAGGCGCTGGCACTGGTTCTGGCACCGGCACAGGGGGATCCGTGGGTGGCAAGTCCGTCGGAGTTGGTCGCTGGCGGTCGGTTGGCACTGGGGTAGGTGGTACTGATGGTGTGGAAGAAGGAGAATCCGGTGGCGACTCGCTCTGCTCGCTTGGCTTCTTTTGAGATGGGATTGGCTGCTCAATTGTACCAGATGGGGACGTTTTCGGGGCTTCCGGCGGCACCGGTACTGTGGTTGGCTCCGGGGTTTGGGAGGGTGACGACGGCGTCACTGGGGTAGGAGCGGGGACTGAAGGAGTCTGAGAAGGAGTAGCAGTGCTCTGGGACGGCGTCGGAGTAGGTTCCTTGTTTTTTCCCACGGTATTTGTATTCTTGGGTTGTGCTGTTTTCTTTTTATTTTCAGTCGCCGCCGTTGGAGCCGCTGGAGTCGCTGTTGGAGTCTTCGCGGCACCATCAGAAGGCGTGGCGGTCGCTTTCTGCTTGTTTGGAGGCGCCGCCGGAGTCTTCGCGGCACCATCAGAAGGCGTGGCGGTCGCTTTCTGCTTGTTTGGAGGCGCCGCTGGAGTCGCTACCGGAGCCTTCGCGGCAGCATCCGAAGGCGTGGCAGTCGCTTTCTGCTTGTTTGCAGGCGCCGCCGGAGTCTTCGCGGCACCATCAGAAGGCGTGGCGGTCGCTTTCTGCTTGTTTGGAGGCGCCGCTGGAGTCGCTACCGGAGCCTTCGCGGCAGCATCCGAAGGCGCGGCAGTCGCTTTCTGCTTGTTTGCAGGCGCCGCCGGAGTCTTCGCGGCACCATCAGAAGGCGGGGCGGCCACTCTCTGTTTGTTTGTCGTCCCGACCACATTTGGAGCGGACTTCTTTTTGTTTGGAGGCGCCTCCGGAGTCGCTGCCGTTGGAGCTTTTGCCACTTGGGTTCCCTTCGGGGCCGCAGCTTTCGGCGCTGGTTCAGTAGCTTTTTTCGCAGGTCGGTCTGCCTTGGACGGTGCAGCATCTTTCTTCGCAGGTGGGGCTGCCTTGGACGGTGCAGCATCCTTCTTCGCAGGTGGGGCTGCCTTGGACGGTGCAGCATCTTTCTTCGCAGGTGGGGCTGCCTTGGACGGTGCAGCATCCTTCTTCGCAGGTGGGGCTGCCTTGGACGGTGCAGCATCCTTCTTCGCGGGTGGGGCTGCCTTGGACGGTGCGGCAGGGTTCTTCTGTGGAGCTGGCGCTGCTGCAATGGCTTCACAGAACAGGAGGAGGGCGAACGTGCACCACAAAAGGCCCACAAGCAGGGTCACTTTTCTCCCTCGCCTTGCTCCCCGCCACCGCATTGGGGAACCAAATAAAAAGATTTAAATGCGAATATTATACGTCTCGTCCTCGATGCAAATCGCAGTGTCGCAGTAAAAATGAAATGGGCATGGAGGTAAAATCAAGAACGGTAGGAATCCAGATGAGGAATGAAAAACAGCCCCAGTCTCCCACCTGGCTCCCCACCCACGGCGAGTTCCCCAAACCCCCCCCCCCCCCCCCCCCCCCCCACCTCGGCGCCCAAAACTTGAGAAAGTTGGCCGCTTTTGCATGCTGGCAATGGCGAGAAATTCGCTTCTCATGTTTCATAGTGCATGGCACAGTCACGAAAATAGGGTGTGGTATGGTGGCATAGTCACATTTGGCGGCTTTTTGGGGACATTAGAGTTTCTGATTGGTTTCAACTGCTTTTTGCGTTTTTGGGAATCTCATCTTGTTAACAAATTCCTTTGAGTGCCCGACTCGTTTTGAGTAGGCTTCCTCCTTGGGGATTCCCTACAAGAGGTGGACATGGTAGGTGCCAATACGGTCTGGATGCCAACTCGCTCCGTAGGCATTGTAAAGTAGGAGGACCTGGCTATATGCGTCCAGTCGCATGCTACGAGGTTGGAGTTCGAGTAGAAAACAAATGCATTTCACATTCAGAATGGAGGCTGTTTGAAATCTGCTATGGAACTCATATTGGTCAAAAGGGAAGAGTAGGCAGGCCACCTAACAACTATCGTGGCGTCCGTGGTGGATACTGCAGCCGAATCTAGAAGAGCGGGGTTGCGATCGGCACAGTGTTCTAAAAGTATAAAGTTGAAAATGTCCACATGCAGGAGGAAAGGGGCGCTTGTCATAGGTGTCCTCGCTCGGGGTTCTGAGTGGAGAAGGGGATTTGAACGTGACTCCAAATTGCGTTCAATTTGGGTACGTAAAGAGAAACTCGATTGAAAACTGTCAAAAGATACAGCTATTTGGTCCTGTTGTTCAGGATGTTGTCGTATCGCTCTCCAATATTTGATGCAGCTTGTAGTTAATACAGAACAAATGACTCACCCACTGCTCCTTCGCTCGTTCAATCTTTTGGTCTACGTCTTTTTTGTCTCGTCCTCGCTCTACAATGTCATTGGACCGGACCCAAGTTATGGATACGGAAAATATCCAACTTATCTCACCCCCGCACCATGGGCGTTTGCAATATGGGCTGTGATTTACTTGTTATTTGGAGGGTTTGTGATTTGGCAATGGTTCCCCGAAACGGACGATGTAGTCATTGATGCATACGGGAGCTGGTTTATCATTGCCAGTCTGTGCGGGGCTGTCTGGCATCATTTTTGGGTACGTTTTCCCTGACAGGCGCTTGTCTGAACTCGAACCGATTGCTTAATGATGGTCTATCGTGCAGGAATCTGGTCATTTGGTGCTGGCACTGATTGTGCTCCTGTTCGCTTCGGCAGCCGTCACTATAATCTATACCAATCTCCATCGCTTGCAAGGCCCTCGTACGTGGACAGAATACCTCTTTGCATATGCTCCAATCTCCCTTTATCATGGTTGGTTAGTCTTTGTCATATGGATCAACATCTTCGCCATTATTGCCCGGGCGGCGGAACCTCGCCATCCGTCCATCTTGCAAAAAATTCTCGTCTTCTTCGCCCTCTTTCAGATGACGACGACAGCTGTAGCCTACACCGAAACAAAAAAGGAACGTGGTGACCTTCCGGGTGCCTTCACCATTGCTTGGGCACTCTTTGCCGTTTCAGCTGGACAGAAATCGAAATTCGTCAAATATTCAGCGTTGGTGATGGGAGTTGTAGTTGCTGTACATGCCTTTAGGCCGCTGGTCAGGCGGAGGAGGGATAGCGAACGTTCCCAGAGGGAATCACTTCTGGGAGAGGGAGAGGAAAGTCGGGAGGAGCAGGTCTGACTGACAGCTGTTCGTTGTCTCTAATTTGGTCCATATGCGCACCCTTTTCCTTTGAACGTGAAGGATTGTTTTCAATCGAGCATACCCTTAGTGTATTGGCAATAACACACAATACACCAGTGTGGATTGACCCACTGAGCCTGGCGACAACCAGGCCAGAAAAGCTAACTAGCTAACTATACAAATAGTGCACTACTACTAGGAATAATGACACATGCGATACATAACGGTTGGTCAACTGGGTAACTAAGCCCACTACCACGAGAGAAATCCTACTAGACCTTTTTGATTCCCAAGCTCTTTAGTCGGAGGATGTTCAGATATTAAGGTAAATCAGAATTAGACTGGATAATATGCGTAGAAAAACCATCAACATATATCTGTGATCGTAGCAAAATAGTAGTATTAGCATTTGCAACTGGTGCCGCTATCTTATATCAAGATGAATTGTGGTTTGGCAAGGTTCATCCAACGTCAACACAGCAGTATTAGTCTCTCATTGCTCTTTGCACTAGGTAGTAATCGAAGCACATCAGCAATACTGTGCTTTTGTCTAAACAGTACCATCCGTCACATCAAGTCTCCCAAATGATATTTCAGAAAAGGAGTGTCATTGAAACTCTGTAGCCACTACTGGACCCCCTCTTTCACCAATCCCTACGACCACTCAAGACAAAGCCGATCTTTGAAAGATATCAACAATTTTGAGCAGAATAATGATGATTTCGCATACCAAGCAGCGACAGTCTTGGGGGTTCGCGACACTGTCCGCGTTAACTACGTAATCGACTTCCATCATGCATTTTTGGCATTGCCACGTTTGCCCTGTTCAACATCAAGACGAGATTGCAATCGCATAATCCACATTCCGTTCACTGAATACGTTTTGCTGTTTAGTTTGATGCAATCAGCCTCACATTGAGCTACTTGTAGACAATGAGCTGGAAAGGCTTCCAAAAGGCGGTCACTCGTCTGCCCACCCGGCTGGCACAACGCACAGGTTACGCCAGCGAGACTGTCGACCAAGAATACCACGAACTGGAACAGCAGTTTAAGCATTTGGAAATTCTGGCAGTAAGACTATCGGATGAGGCAAAAAAGTTCAAAGATTCGCTGTCAGCCATGTTGGCTCACCAGGCGAAATTCGCTGAGACGCTAATGGAGGTTTACCAACCTGTCACTGCAACTTCACCAAGTCGCCCGACCATTGAAGGCGCAGCGACTGAAGACTATCAACCGCCTTCTCCTGCAAAGGGGGTGAGTGCATGTGTTGACAAGAGCCGACGGTTAAAGACGACGAGTTACTAACTCCGTCTGGTGCAACAGCAGGTAACCAATCCTCAACATGCCAAAGCTCTGGCCGCCGCCGAGGCATTCGCATCGGCAATGCGAACTGCTCGTGAACAACTTCTTCCAGACCTAGAAGTAATTGAACGCCAAGTTGTCGCTCCAACTAATGACTACATTACAATGATCAATAATGTCAAGCGACTCATGGAGAAGCGTGCTCGGAAGCTTGTGGACTATGACCGGCATCAAGACTCTGTAAAGAAACTCGCTGCAAAACAAGACCGAAATGTCTCAGATGAGAAGAAGCTTGGAAGTTTGGAAACGTCTCTAGACCAGTCTACGCGCGAATTCAACAATGTCAACAATCTCCTGAAGCAACAGCTGCCGGTCTTTCTGGGATATCGTGTCGCCTTCATTGACCCATGCTTCCAATCATTATATTGGTACGAACTCAAGGTTGTGCAGACACTGTATGATTGCTTCCAGCAGCTCTGCAGCCAGCACTTCAACATGTCCATCTCCGCACAAGACGGATTTGCGGCGCAGTACGATCGCATGATGGAAATGCTATCGCAGCTATCTTTGTTGAAACGACCATTGAGGAAGGGGGATGGCGGCGATACAGATACCGGATACGGGGGGTCACCAGAGAATTCACCTGTTGGGCATGATATCGGTGGGGCATCGGATGCAGGTGCGACCGAAGCATTGCCGCCCTACGAAGAGACCGCAGCCCGTCCTTTTCCTTCTGTCTCGAAACCTGCCCCTGTTGCGGCGGCAGTTACCGCGTATCCTAATCCATTCGCCGCTCCTGCACCCTCAGCAGCAGGAGGTAGTGCACGCCCGATCTACGTTCTGGCACTGTATGATTTTGAAGGGGTAGAAGAAGGAGACCTCTCCTTTAAGAAAGACGACAAGATTGAAGTTATCCAGCGAACTGGGGATGCGAATGACTGGTGGACGGGCAAACTTAGGGGAAAAGTTGGCCAATTCCCTGGAAATTACGTCAGTGACCTTTGAGCTCATGGTACATGCCCATCTCGCCATCTTGGCATTTGAATCGTAAGGTCTGGGCTCAATTAATCCATTCATATGTCCCAAACTCCAAAATACATGTATAATCCAAAATGTACAAATTATTGCTGGCTGTTACATCACCCCCATTGCTGTTTTGGTCTTTCACGAGAAAAGCGCCAAGCATTGTCGCCCTCACCAGACCCTGACCCTCGTGCATTCTTCCAGCGTCCAGCGCCATTTCGTTCTGATCTTAGTCGTGCCAACTTGCGTTCCAGCGCATGCAACTGACTTTCCCAGAGCGGTTGGTAGAATTTGAGCGCATAGTCACCCCATTTCTCTACAATGCTTGCTTCTGTTCCTTCCAACACTAGTAGACCCTGTACACCTTTTTCTTCATCTGCTGCCTGGATCCGCTCCAACGCTCTGGATAACCGTCCAAGAACATTCATTCGAAGAGATTTTTCCCGGTTGTAGCCTAGCGCGACAAGGTAATATGAGCTTCGAATAGTATGTACACCTTTGGGTTTCACTGGCACGAGCTCCGTGAAAAAGTCATTGAGGAAGCATAGGATCTCAAGGTTTTGCAGCTGGGGCTTCATGTTTGAGACAATGATCAAAGTACCATTTTCTCCAAGATTTGTGAGAGCAGCTAGTAGTTGGGAGAATGAAAGGAGTTGCCTCGAACGAACTTGTAGTGGGGGTGGTCCTAATCGTGATGGGTCGGCTGTGGAGTGATCCCTGTAGATTGAGCCTGCAATGACTAGGTCACATCCCACATCCGGTGGATCGGTATGACAAGGCGAGACAAAACGGATGGATTCAGGCTTCTCCGTTACGTCTCTATATAGTGAGGTGTACCGGTCCATTTCCCCCAGCACACCTTCCATAACCATTGGCAATCCTCCCATTTCAAGCGGTAAAGTCACGCCCATCCCAACAGCGTCGTCATTATTTTCTAGGATCCAGCGCGAGAATCCACCGGGAGCAGACCCAAGGTCAAGGAAATGTTTCACACATCCTCTCAGCTTTCCTCCAGTCTGCTTATCAACTTCGTCCATAGCTCCCCGAAACTGGTTGGCAAAGTGGGACGACGACACAGCAGGCCCGGACTCTTTCGGTGTTGTCGCTGCCGTCACGTTAGCCGAGTGCGCCCGATTCGATACAAACATTCTTTCCACATTGGGATCATTCTCGAACTCGTCTTTGAGGTTGTGAAGGGAGCGCAAGAGCAGGGAGGAATTGTAAAGGTGAAGGTGAAAGAAGTCCAGATCCGCTGGAATGACTTTGTTGAGTTGTGGTGGCTCAACGGACGGTGCAACATGTGGGATCGCTACAGCGGCAGCATTCCGCCGATGTGGTGGAACGTAGCGAGCCATTCTATGTAGCAAAGGATTCGTCGTCCAAGGCAAGAAGGACTCTTGGTTGCATGCTCGTTAGGAACTTGTTGCCATGTCAATGTGGCACAGCACAAGTCCAACTCTGACTGCTTGTTCGTTGACCTCCCATACCAATGAACTACCGACGAGGTAAACAAAAAAGTTGGACTCAAAGCGATGAAGACTCAATACGCCGCCCTGCTCTTCCCCTTGAGGGCTATGATGAAGACGAACCGCTGCTAGCTCCAGGGGCTCCCCCTGCCTCGGGGCTGCAGTACTTGCGAATGGTGAGGTGAGATCAGCTGTTGGGCTTTGAGCTTGTAGTAGACCGGCTCTCATTCCCTTGTACAAATCTTTGCGTTCAGAGCAGAGGCTAACGCCTGTCAGCAAGTAGTGACCGTGAGCCTTCCCGCCGAGAAACTTCATTCACCTATACCCCCCAATGTATTCGATGTACGAAAAGAGTACTTTGGCACCAAGGCATCCGGCGATGAGTCATATATACCCGAAAACCTGCGACCTTCAGCAGATTGGCTGAATAACTTTCTAGAGCGGTTTAATGCGCTGCACGACGAGGTGGCCAAGCGCCGGCAAATCGTTCGTAAATCTGTTTCTTCAAGATTTTTCCGGCCAAACCTCTACAACGAAAGAGGGTGGAAAAGGTTTTGCTATGGTGATCCGATAGAGAATGCTCCTCAAGAACCCAGTGCCAACATGGAGTTACCTCCCAACGCACCGGTGCATGAGCCGAGCGTGTCTGAGGATGTACCGGAGAGTGTGCCTGAACTCACGCCAGAGAATGTAGTTGAAATTCAAGAGCACGAAGATGCCAAAGATCCAAGTGATTCTGACATTCTCAAAAAGCGGAAACGAGAGCTTGATGAGGAAGAAGGCGATACGTCTCAGAAGTCAAAACGTCTCCAAACTCAAAGTGCTGAACCAACTCATGACGAACAAGCCAAGAAACTACCTCCCAGTGGAAAACAAGCCAGCGAAACAGATATAGTGATAGGTGGAAAAGAGCCACTCTTAAACCTAATATGTAACTTGGAGCAAGGGGAGGTCCTCAAAGTTCTCAAGTATCACACCAACTGGCTGTCCGATGATGACATTTCCGAAGAGCAGGTTCGCCGCACATATACTCGTACAACTAAATCCGTACTTCAGCTTACGGTGCTTCTTGTGGATCTAGTGCCAATGGATCTTTGCCCTTCTGCTCCGTCTCGACACGCTCCTTCACGGAGACGAAGTCTCTATAATTCGCGATTTATGCCGTAAATGTCGCGGAATACGGAGCCATATGATTGATCTGGATGCAGGTGATCCCCGAGCTGCAACTCTGAATATGATTGTGGCGATTGTGTCCCATATTTTCGGGCAGCGCGATCTTGGGTAAGGATTGAAATTGACCGTTACTCAACTTCGGCGCTAACTTTGTTGTGTTGCAGAGACCAAGTTTCTTGAGTGCCTTTGAATTTCATGATGCTTCAATGTACAAAGATATGGTTCTATATATTTTTTTTGTTGTCGCTGTGTCGTACCGTATATATTGTACTGTATTGGCAAAAACCAATGTTTATAAAGCATTTCAAATGTGGGTCCAATGTAACTACTGTATTGCGCCACTTCGAGAGGCGGTGCTGTTGATTAACGACAGCTCACCTTTCCTCTGAATTTTGTTCTCCATTGCACACATCCCAACGCGGACTCAACAGACAACTTCGCATCCCACTTGCCCACCGGTTTCGGTATTCGAGAGGACTATATAGCAGTCTTTCTGCTGAATGACGTCTTGCGATATCTTATATATTACTTTTCCTTGGAATTGCGGACATTACACAAAATGTCGGAATCTCCCAAATCACCCCGAAAATCGCCGTCACTTTCACCTGCCGAAGAGACGGCGCTGTCAGCCCTTACTGATATAAGTACGCGGAATTCCAGCAGTCGAGAGGAGTCTTTGAAAGACAAAGAAAAGTCGAAGAACATTCGCTCAACGCTTCCTTTGGAACAGACAGCTAGTACAAAGACGCTATCAGATACGAATCAGAGACACGCAGCCGAAGCGATACAACCAGCAGATGGCCAGGCGATTAACAGCCGATTTTCTTCTGCTCCACCATTTCCTCCAATGGTGCCCATCGGATTCCCGTATCCCTTTCCGTTTGTCAATGGGAACATGTACCCTGGTCCACCGGGGAAACCACCGTTTCCTCTTCCGATTCCACCAGGAAGCTTTCCTGCTGTAGCAGGGTACCCACTCCAACTTCCCTCATCTCACATAATGCACACTTCAGCAATCAGATCTGCACAGCCGGCAGGCGACGATCGTGAAAAGACAAACTCCCCTAGCGCACATATCCCAACCTATATGAAGGAGGAAAATGAGGCAGACCCTGAACTGCCTGTACAGAACAAAAAAATTAAAGGAATGCAAACGGGGAGTGAGGAAAGTGGGGAAGACGATGGTGTCCAAGCCACCGAGGAAGAACAGCAGCAGATCAACGCGGCGATTGCGGCTGCAGAAGCATTGGGCGTTGGAAAGCGCGATATGAAATACATGTGTCAAACATGTTCACGGGTCTTCACTCGGTTGTACAACTTGAAGTCTCATATCCGTTCTCATCAAGGACTGAGACCATTCAAATGCAAATTCTGCTCGGCCTCGTTCACGCGAAACCACGACCTGAACAGGTTAGCTTGGCGCATGATAGGTGCGATGAGCGTGTGAGTGTAGGCCAAAAATAACTTTGACTTTCGTCTAGACATGAGCGGACCCATGCAGATGTGAAGCCTTTTACATGTCCTGTGTGCCTGAAGAAATTTTCGCGCAAGGTATTGTTCTTTCGCGTATACTCGCGGATGTTCGTTCCGTGCTTATAGTTTCCCGACCGTCGTAGGATGCCTTGAAACGACATCAACGGCAAGATGCAGAAGGCAAACGAGGAATATGCGTACCTGTGGCCAAAACAGCAAATGCAGTCGCATAATCTATATTTATTTCCGCCTACTCATTTAAGTTCTGCTTATGCATATACCCCTATCGTGCTCACTCCAACTTGTACAAAGCATTCTGATTGGTGGAGTACCTGGTTTCTTTTGTATTATAATTGATTGATACTTTTTGGATTCAGCCAATCTTTTGTTTCCATTGCTAAATTGCCTGTTGCATTCGTATACCCTTGACTTCGATTTTCCCCTTTCTTTCGCCCCCAAACTCCGGAAATAATGTGTACTGCGACAGAGCCGGATGCTCTGGGACTTCCGTTCTATTTGCCCTACTTAAAGTGACAAGTTATGGCTACAAACAAGATCTACATAATTTACAGTTCAAAGCACGCAAAATCCGAAATCTGCCTTCCGACTGGCTCAAAAATGCCAACAATCTCGGTATGTGTCGCCAACGCTGGCGAAGCTGCTACAGTTTTTTTCTTTACTTCACTTTCGAAGAGCTGTAAATGAAGTATGTGAGAACTACGCGACAGGAGAAGGAGTGCTAGATTTCAACGGCTTACCGTAGCGTATGAATGGTCCAGGAAATCCTCCAGATCATAAGATGGCTGTTTCGCAATGGGTTCTTCGAACACACGGACCAATCCCGATATCGTGTGCAGATAATGACTCTTCAAAGTCTGCAATTCCCACAATGAACTCTCCAATGCCTTGCAAAGAGCCGGATTTGGTTCATCAACGAGATAGGGATCTGCTCAATAGCGATGTAAGCCATGAGTTCCATAATAAACAGCTGTATTTGATTGCTAACCTTCGGCCTCTTTTCCAACTTGTTCTGGGGACTGTTCCCGGTGAATCAAACACAAGCAAGCAGGGTGTCTTTTGAGCAGATTGTACACAAAAGGAATAATGGTCACAATAGCTGCTGGTGGAGCATTTAGAGCCAGGCGTAACATCTTTTTAATGAAAGCTGCGACTAGATACGATGGCAGTTGACTGAAAAGAATCGAAACGATTAAGTACTGAACAAGCTCCTCTTATGGGCGGGAATGATAAATACCTGGAGGAGAGGAATAGATCAACCAATCGGAGGAAACGTGAACGGTATTTGACATGAAGAAGGTTTTTGTCGAAAAGGGCGTAAAGCTTGGTATAGAAGTCGGGATAATCGCTGTACAGAGCTAATGATGAGTACCCCAATCGTGGAGACGTGGGTACCGCCGCACTTACAGATTGTGTTCCGTGACCAACGTAAAGAGTCCGTTGAGAGCAAGGATACTCACGGCTCCCCCTACCAACCAGGCTACAATTATCATTCTGTTCGGATATAAAACGTATCAGTAAAGTACAACTCACCATGGTCATATGAATCCACCAGAAAATCAATCAATAGCGTTGGCTTCGATAAGAATGGGATAATCTTCTTGTGCATCGCCAGTAAGACTCGCTTATGCATGTCGGCTGACATAGACTGTCTCAGAAATGCAAGCCAACATTCACTAAACACTCGTTTGTGCTCTTTGGCAGATGCAACGACTGGCTTCTTTTCACGGGATGAGTCGGACTCATATAGATATGTACCCAATTCGCTCTCCTCCACCGGGTCCCGTATCCGTGAAAGAATATTGAATCCAGTAGTTATAACGGCGGGAAGTTTGTCTGTAGCAAACGAACGTTTTCGACGCTGATCACGAGGACGTTTGAGAGACTTCCTCGGTTCAACGAGCTGACAACGGATAGGTACCTTTGAAGTAGTCTTCATTTTACTGTCTATGCCATTTCGATTATCCAGCGTACTACCCAAAATCTTGCTAAAGCATTTGTCAATATCAGAGTGTTGGTGGAGATCCACGCCCGTTTTTGCGACCTTACCCAAAATCTTTATAGAAGTAGTATCGCACATCATCGTAGGTATTGATAGTCTCAGTTAAATTCTCCAAAAGATGCTCGCTCATGTTATCATTTGCGACGCATTTCTCGACAACTTGCTGATAGAGCGCGTTGTGAAACTCCTTTAACTGGTAACTCTCATCCTTGACAACGCTCATCAGTGATTCAAGAGCCGCCACCTAAGCAAAGAATGCTGAGCAAAACAAGTCCACGATCATGTACGATATCAATTATTTACCTGCATCGCAGGCTCCGGATGTGACAGGTAGCTAAATGCTAACTGAACATAAACAGACCGATTCTCTCGTAGCCATTTCGCGACTGTTGTGCTGACATCATCCTGCTCTTCCACATCCCTAGCAGCTCTCCTCTTTTTGAAATCTCCACGTTCCAGCAGTGTCGCATATACGTGTCCAATGGAAACAAACGAGGCGTACGCTATTTCCTCGGTCTCACTCTGCGAGCCTCCGGTAAGCGCCATGAAAGTGATTTCGTACACTTGTATGTCACAACGAACCTCACACAGCTCCAGGAGTGTCACGATATTATTGAGTTTTCCCTTGGTCTCCAGACATTCCTTGGCCAGCTCCCGCACTCCAGCAGCGTCAATTTCTGTCTGAAGTAGGGTTGTAGGAGTGTAAGTGATCTGCGTTTTTCTGTTTAGTATCTACAATATGCAGCAACTCAACATACTGCGCTTCCCTTCTTCCTTTTGGCGGCGACCATGGTGTTCTAGAGGTGCGTATATAAATTCTCAAACAACAATGGCCAAAAAGCAAGCAAGTGTTGATCGAGCTCTGCTTACCCTAGCAGGCAAAAATATTGGGCGAATGAAATGCGAGGTGACTATGACTGTGCCTTATCTAACAGCATCCTTAGTTACCTTGGTGGATATTACTGAACTTGCAACTTGACCTTGTTTTAATAGGTCAAAGATTCCTTCAACATGCTTTTTATACGGAGATTACAGAGCTGCGTCCGGCAGCCAATACAAATTCCCTTACGTGTCCCGCGATTTGCGTCTGCCCAACTCTCTTCCACATCAGAGCCGATAGTACCAGGGCAATCATTTCTCGAGGCACTTGGTCCGGCTGCAACGACTACAGAGAACCAGGGAATTCCAACTCATACACCTTCACCCGATTTCTCCACTGGCCATGCAGCTCGTATAGCATCTATTCTCGAAACTGAAACCCCCTCGTCCCCCCTCGTCGATCTTGTCAAGACAAAACCTGGAGTCCGGAACAGGAACCTCACTCTCCCAGAAGCGTTCATTAACAACATTATGAAAGACGGAAAGAAAGCCCGTGCAAGAAGAACATTGCTGGACGCGTTGGAATTGGTACAACGAGAAACTGGTCAGGATCCCCAAAAGATCCTGGAAGACGCCGTGAACAAGGTCGCGCCGTTGATTAAAGTTGTTAGTACAAAGCGAGGGGCAAAGAATGTCATGACACCAACACCGCTGAACGAACGGCAGAGGACGCGATTTGGGATCCTCTGGATCGTCGAAGCTGCTAGTGGAAAGAAATCGAGAGGGACTTTTGGCGAGAGGATTGGCAAAGAGCTCTTGGCTATCATGAACGACGATAGTGATGCATTGCAGAAGAGAATGAATGTGCATAAGCAGGCGCTAGCCAATAGGAGTAATGTAGTGATGGCAGATAGACGGATGAGGAGGGCATTTTAGAAGCCTTCCCTATTATGTCTGGTGCATTTGCCCTGGCTTCATACGTCGCTGTATGGTAGGGTTTTAACTCCATTTTATAATTATTGAGCATAACATTGAGCATATCTCCTTTGCAATGACAATAAATGAGGTTATGTAATTGTGGGGCTGATATTTTTCACCAGACTGGCGGCAACGAACACCGGGATTGAGCCAACCTCAGCATGAATTCCGTCATGTACAGCAAATATATATGGCTAATTTATCGGTATCTAGTGGTGGTCGTAGTCGACGGGCTTCAACCTCTTGGGCAACTGGAAGAGTAAGAGTGTCAGGAGGGATCTTCGGTACCACAAGAAGGTTGCCGACACTTACCAAAGAACCATCATCATTTTCGGTGGTGAAGTCCCATTCATCTAAGTAGATATGCCGATCATCAGTTCCCTCTAACCATCAATTGAACAGACCGCTGAGAATACGCACCAGGATAGTTGGCTGGGTCATCGATAGGGTTGTACACGGCAGGCCATTCCTCCTCCTCAACCGCTTCGTCTGCAGCATTTGCAACCGCATCCGTAGTTTTGACGTCAATCTCGGGCTTTGCCGGTGCCGCCGGGGGTGCGAAGGTGGTCGGCAAGTCAGCCGCGTCAGCCGCGGACTAGGTAAACCAAAAAGAATGGTGAAAGTGAGTCTCGACATTCATACTACGACCATTCGATTAAGAATATAAGAGCCAACACTGACCTCCTTCGGGGGCGTGTACTTGCGCAATTCTTGAAGGTAAAGGTCGGTGATAAGGTCGGCTAGTAAAAAACCAACACTTGTGAGGACATGTTTGCCGTGAAGTTGCCAGAACCGTGAAACCTACCTTTTACGGATGCAGTCTGAGTGAAGCTTCGAGTCACAGCCGGTGCAATCACTCGAGACACATTCAAAGGCTGAAGGGTAAGAAAACCGGCGATTAGCATCGTTGTAACTCTCGACTTCCGGAATCCTTGGTTACTCCCCTCCCAAGTTCTCCCTGTGGCCACAACAATAACAGCTCTCCTTTCTATAACCTATCGCCAGCGTTTTTTTTTGCCTGCCCATCAATAACAACTGGCCCTCAAAAAGGCCGAATCGCTCCAGCACAAGTTTCCCGAACGGTGCAAACATTCTCCGCCAAATCCAGCCACCTGCAAGCAGGCAATGCAGTTGATTTCCCGCCTCTTGACACATACCCTAACAAGACCAGCAGCGCGAACAAGGCGGAGCGAGAGCATCGTGTACAGTGTTCGAAGAAAGCGTAGGAGGCCGGTGCTCAATTCGTTCTCGTTACGCGGCTACCCACTGTCCATCTCTTCTTACGGTCAATCCCGTCGTTGCTAAGTGAGGTGGCACAGTCATGCAAACGGCAACCAGGACAACGATCCGATGATATTTTTATAGTCCCCTTACACCGACTATAAACATGTTAGTGCTGGCCCAGCTCGATGTCGAACGTACAAGGCCAGCTCCTGTCGACGTAAACGTTCCACCAACCGGTTGCTTTCGGGCTCTTGTATCTGGACAGTTCTGGCACCCCAGGGTGGTGCTGCCAGGTTGCAAAGTAAGAAGCAGATTTGCACCAAAAAACGCCAGTAGCAGGAACCTTGTTGGTCAGCCAATAGAGTCAGAGTATAAACAATAACGCGATATCCATCCAAAATAAACAATAAACAAACGCATCCAAGGAACGTCGGGGTTGTACACAATGACAACCCCCGCTTCTCCGCCTCCGACATCCTCGTCAGTCCATGCAGATAGTGCACAGCGGGCTATCTCCTACCGTGAACGTATGGGGTCATCGCCTTTCGTGTTCTTTCCCGACTCATCTTTGCCAACTCACGACGAAGCCTTTCGAGAAGATCTCCTCGCCACCTCAGCGGCTGTCCCACTAGAGCGCTTGAAAGAGTATCTGCCTGGCGAAGTCGTCCCGACCATGGCGTTCGCAAAGTTAGAGGTACGTGCAAGACTCGAGAATTTCGCGTTGCTCGTGACGGCATTTAGAACGTGTTGGTCTCACTTGTCAATAGGGGCCGGACTTTGTATACCACATCAAAAAGTTGCAGGTGACTCTTGGGCGTAGAGGATCGTCAGCAGATCAGGTGGACATCGACCTCGGTACTTCCAACTCCATCTCGAGATTGCATGCGATGATTCAGTTCAACCGTTCTATTCAAAAGTTTGAACTAGCTGTATACGGAAAGAATGGAGTCTGGGTAAATGGTGAACATGTGCATCGCGGTATGGATCCCGTCCCTTTGGAGCATGGGTAGGTACCCGATACCTCATGTTGAGGCCGTTATGATGCTCACCCTAGTCTGATATCAATGGTAGCACACAGCTGCGAGTTAGTGACATTGAAGCGTACTTTATTATACCTGGCCTCGACCCACCGAATCAAGCACCTCACGAGCTGAGAGAAGCCCGCCTGAAGCGGGCAGCCCCACCGAGTACTCTGCCAGAACCTCAAACACGTCTCACACACTCGATCAAAAAACCTCGATATGAACTTTCTTCATCTCGACCTACCTTCTCATCTTACTCAAGGCCGGAGCAGCATCTTGTCGGCGATAGCACATTAATACCGACTTGGCCTCCTAGCGCTAAGTATCGGGACATGAGACCACCATACTCATATATTGCATTGATCACCCAAGCCATCTATCAAGCCGACGAAGGCAAGATCACTTTAAACGGAATTTACAACTGGATCTCAAAAACGTATCCATGGTATAAATTAGACCAAACTGGCTGGCAGAATTCGGTACGACACAATCTGTCGTTGGGCAGATGGTTCATCAAACTCAAGCGCAATGAGCCAGGAAAGGGTGGCTGGTGGGCTCTTGATAAAGGTAGTGATGATCAGCCGCGTACAGAGATATAGTGTTTGGCTTCTTGGAAACTAAGCTTGTCCAATTGTCAGATGTCCCACCGCATGAGCTTGAAGAGATGTTGACACAGAGGCGTTTCGGGCGCGGGCAAGCTATTGTCGTAACTCCTTCAAGTAGGGAGCACACGTCCACGTCTCCTAACGAGGAGGTATCCCCGTTCCCGGCCGAATCGTTGCCAGTTTCACCTTTCAAATCTCGGCAAGAACCACCCCAACAAGTTGCACGGGCGGCAACTGGGGAGATGCCCACAGAAGTGACAGGCTCAGCGTCGCCGCCGCATAGTGCAGCATGGACGGACAGCAGCCGCCGAAGGTCGGAGAGACTGAAAGTCCCTCGGCCGTCCTTTTACGAATATGAGGGAGAAGATGTTTTTTGACGGTGAAAAGTCATTTGGACACTTAGGTCAAGGACAATGGCAGGCCATGTAACTACGGTGTTCTGCGTTATTTCAAGCCTTCACACCATAGTTCAGTGGGACCTTAAACACTTCTCTTTGTAAATATTGATTGCTCCACCTTGCCAATTTTGCTTTGGTTTTTTGTGCTCATTGAGATATATTGTTTCTCATTTATTTTTTTAATGAATTTTCAACATTATCCTGTCTGGTAGATGGAAAGACTTCGATCATCTGATACCGTCGCAAGCTTTGTACCGTCTTCATTGTATGCAACGCCCCAAACCTACGTAAAAGATCTTAGAATCCCTTGGTATTTTCTTTACTGTTTATCTAGACCTACCTGATCGTCATGATCGTCGAAAGTATGTATACATTGTCTAGCGTTGACGTCCCATATTTTTGCCCGCTTGTCACTCGATCTGTGCAAACTTCCATTTAGACTAATTCAACCATGTAAGCATCCATGTGTAAATATTCTCACCCTGAGGCAAAATGGACAGTATCCGGGCTGAAAGATAGGGACAGCACCCACGACTGATGCCCCGCCAACGTGGACAGGCAATTGCCGTGATGACTAGAGTAGCAAGTACTGATCAACACGGGCTACTATGGGACGTCCACGAAATTACATACACGTCGTAGATATTAATTCGCTTGTCATCGGAACCCGTCAGAAGTAATGTAGAGTCGGGGGAAAATGTTAGCGTTCTGACCGGCATAGAATGTCCTAGAATGACAAGATATGACTATAAATCTTGGGATCACAAGTGAGCAGTTATCTCACAATGACCCACCCGGTAAGCTATGCAACAATCTTCCTGTTGGAACGTCAAAAACGTGCACCGGCCCCTCCTCTTCTCCGCACGCAAGGTACAGCCCGTTTGGACTGTACGCAACCGACATAACAAATTTTCCTCTTGTTTCAAGTGGCCGCTCCTTCTTCCTCTCTTCCACGGACCAGATGTTAACATTTCCATTATGGGATCCGGTTGCGACGTGACGTCCATCAGGGGAATATACGGCCGTCCATGCCTCGACTAGATCAAGAGAAATCGTCAAATGGACAATTGATGCAAGAAGATTCTCAGCCGCGCAACTTACCCGGTCCTGCTTCTATTGTCTTGTCATCGGTTTTGGTATGATGTATTAGGTCCCAAAATCGGATTTGACTATCCAGAGAGGTCGAAGCAGCCGCTGGAAAGGATGCACCGCGTCAGATTGTTCCATGATCTTGTTTTCAACTACATGAGGGAAACGCACTTGACCCGTCCGGTGAAATGTCTATCGATATTACACCTAATTGGTGCCCTTCGAATGTATGTAGAGGTACGTATGTGTCACCAGCCCTATAACGGAGGGTTGAAGTTAAGTCGAGTGAACTTCAGACACTCTCCCCATGGCCATTTTTACGCGTGCATCCTCCATTTTGAATGCACGGTCTAACCACGCGGTACCTAGTGCAGCCAGTAGTACTGTATGATAAACGACGTTTGCTTACCAGACTTTAACTGTGTCATCCACTGACCCCGTCACGATCTTGTTACCGCGTTTGCTCCAACCAACCGACCATATCCCGTCATCGTGAGCTGACAAGAAAACTCGTGTAAGAACCAATCTTCAGCTGAACGAAGAAGAAAGCTCGTACCATTCTTGATGTGCTTTATCTGGGAATACTACGAGCATGGGGTGTATGATGGGTTAATACAAGTGTCCATAACGCGCGGGCTATACAAGTATAAACGGCTCATGTACCATATCGTCGCCCTGACCGCGACGTGCTGGCCGATTAATAAGATCGCTGATGTTTTCCACAAATTCGGAGCGAAGAGTCTCAGCGAGCACATCCTGCAATCCTAGTCCCTAGTTGCCACAGCAACATCGCTGACCGGAACGCGGGGTAAGGCGCGATCTTGACCTGCCCTCAAATGGCATCTCAAAAGGAACTCTATTCCTACAATGCACCGTGGTCAGTATACGGTCTACACTGGTCACAAAGGCCGGGAACATTCAGATTGGGACTTGGAAGTTTTATTGAAGACCAGGGGAACAAGGTGGGGAGCGAAGCGATTCCTCCGATGGGGAGGTTCTCGATGCTCATGTTAACTGGTGGTTAGGTCCAAATCATCGAGCTATACGATCGGGATGCAGATTTCGTTCTGGTAGACGAGGTGGACCATCAATATCCCTGTACAAAGCTGCTATGGCAGCCCTATAAAGTATGTGCGTGAGCAAGGTTTCAAAGTGCCTGTACTCAGCCTCCATCGTTCAGGCCACCAATTCCCCAGACCTATTCGCCACTACTGGAGACTTCCTAAGAGTATGGGAAGTAAAAAACTCCAGCGATGGGTCATCTGATGACCGCGGTTCTTCGACAGTGGCCAACATGGGCGGTGGTGAGCGAACGAAGATAGTTCCGAGGGCAACTCTGAGAAACCAACGACGAACAGAACTGGTGAAAGCTGACAATCGTTATGGACCCCCGGTCTACCATATGTTGCTAATTGCACTTCGATATGTATAGGCGGGTCGAGATTCTTGTGCTCCGATCACATCAATGGACTGGAATGAGACCGATCCAAACATTGTTATAACGAGCAGCATCGATACTACATGCACAGTTTGGGATTTGTCGGTACGCGTAGTGTCAGATGGAAGAACAGTGGGAAGAGCTTGTGGACGGCACCTAACGTCTGTTAGTTCTAGACTTTGCAAGCTAAGACGCAATTGATCGCTCACGACAAAGAAGTATATGATGTGGCCTTTTCTCGCGGAAACGACGTGTTTGCAAGCGTTGGTGCCGATGGATCTTTAAGAATGTTTGACCTTCGGTGGGTACAACTTGGCCGTATTCAAGAACGCAACTAACTCGTGGTATTTGATCAAAGTAATCTTGAACATTCAACGATTTTATATGAAGTTGGACCGGTGCCACGAGAGGCAGAGGTCCCAACAATGGTGGATCAGGCCTCTGATGGCCTTCCTCTCCTTCGTCTGTCCTGGAATAAGCAAGACCCAAACTATATCGCTACATTTCAAACCGGTTCTTCGGCAGTGCTGATTATGGATATCCGGGTTCCTGCTATTCCAGTCACAGAACTGCGAGGACATGGGTCGGCTGTGACAGCGATTGGCTGGGCACCTCATTCCAGTAGCCATATTTGCAGTTCCGGTAATTGCTCCATGTTGAGGCTTTCCGATGTCCATCCAAGCTTAACTTCTGTCGTGTCTTATGTGTGCAGGTGATGATGCGCAGGCGCTCGTCTGGGACATTTCGCAAAACAATAAGGAGAAGCAGATCCAAGATCCGCTACTGGCGTACTCTGCTGAGGGGCCCATCAACCAATTGATGTGGTCAGCCAGTTCGCCAGACTGGATAGCGATATCATTGGGGTCAACAGTGCAGGCACTGCGCGTATAAGAAGTTTCTATATTATAATATATCGCATCGATCTACCGTAAAGATACGCAAAAGTATGCAATCGTGGTCTCCTCCATAGCTCAAATAGCACGCTTGCCAGTGTGGGGAACGCGACACCTTTTGCTGACGCGATCATGTCATTTTATCCAATCATAACGCGTCTACTTTACCCAAATATGGTTATATGAGTAGTTATTTTTCCCGCAGTCGCTGCTGCCCTCAAAAGACCTGTAGAGGTCGGCCCCTTCTTGCTCCTTCCTTTTGCCTCGTCCTAGTTCAGACCATTAGCAAAGATGACGGTAAGTAAGCTGCTCGCATCCATCCATCCATCATGCATTCTGTTGCTTCCAATCTCGGGGAACCCCTCCTTACTTTCTGGGGCATTCATCGTTGTCGTATCGATGATGTGGACCATCCATCCCAACGTGGAAGGAAATTGGACATTGGAGGGATGAGTCGATGAAATGCTATCAAAGACAGAATTACAGCGGGGAAAGATCCAGAGCTGAGAAGGCTGTGCCATGTCTGTAGCGGGCCGCAGCAAAACTAGAATTTGTGTAGGGAGCAATGGATTGGAGGATATGTCAAATCTGGCTGGGGCTATCTGGGCTATCTGGTTGATGAAAGTTGACTCTCTTCTGCCGAGTGGATGACCGGGCAAAAAGGACGAGTGATCCAGTCTTGCTCATCGGCACTAGGAGGAGCCTCTTTAATTGGAGGGTGGTGCCTACTATTTGCGACAACGAGATATCCCCACGGCATGCATAGAGATCGTGTCTGCGGCCACTTGCAGAATCAAAAACCTAACCCCTTTCGTTCTCTTTCTTAGTTGGCGGTCGATCTCTTGAACCCTCTTCCTCAAACCGAGGCTCGTAAGCACAAGCTCAAGCGCCTTGTACAGAGCCCCAACTCTTACTTCATGGACGTAAAATGCCCGGGATGCTTCAACATCACGACCGTCTTCAGCCACGCCCAAACCGTCGTTCTCTGCGGAAGCTGCGCAACTGTCCTATGCCAACCAACTGGTGGTAAGGCACGCCTCACTGGTAAGTGTCCTGGATAGCGATGTTTTCGGTGGTCTGCAATGGAATGACCAACTTACGCGATATCTTTGCAGAGGGCTGCTCCTTCCGTAAGAAGTCCGGTTAGATCCTGTACACATCTTTGTAGTGGTGGGACTGGGCATTCTCGAGCTGGATCATCGCTCATTCATTGGCTAGTGGCGAATAAAAGACGCTTCAATGCATACCGATTCAATGTGGGTGCTCGCCAATTTTTTGGGGCACACGGTTGGGTGATTTGCTTGTGATGTAAATTTTCTGATGAAGGGCGACAACTGCATGTCGCGCCTGTACTTAATGGAGATAAATCTCAACTATTCAATATTTGCTGTGCTAGCAAAATGGCTCGATATTTAATTGCAAAGTACATATTCACGATAGGTATTTGTGGTATTTTAAATGGAATGTTTGGACGCCCCACCTATCGACGACGCCGCTCACGGTGATCAGGACTCCGACTACGGCGTTCACGATCATGCCGATTATCCCGGTGTTCATACCTATGACTACTGTCCCGGTTACTCCGTCGGTCTCTGTCCCTGTCCCTATCTTTGTAGTCCTCTCGTCGATGATAGCTCGTATCTCTACGAGGCTCCCGTGATGGTCCCCTTCGGTCCCCATCAGCTTGTTCCCCATTGCCTCGTTCCCGTTGACCGCGGCGCTGCTTCTCAGCGTCGAGATTTCCCGAATGTTCGAAGACCAGATCGTATCCCTCATCCTCGCGATCAGCTTCCCCTCTGTAGCGTGTGCGTCTCTCTAGATTAGAGGATCCTCCAAAGCCCCCTTGGTTGCGCTTTGCCACTACAACATAGTCTTAATATCGCGTCTCATGCCACGGGGAATACATCGGTCCATCACTTACATAAAAAGTCCTGATGCAACTTTGATACACTCTGGGAAAAGTCAACATGGATACGCCGGTCATCAATCAACACGTTATCCATTTTAAAATACGCCTGCAATCCGCAAAAATTCATAAATGAATAATGGATAGAGCCGTGGTTCAAATGAACGGAGAGACTACCTCCTCGCATGACTCCTTGTTGTCAAATTCAATAAATGCGTAACATAATGAATCGCCAGACTTCTTGTCCCGCACCACCTCGCAGCTGCGACGAAGCAACATGTCAGTTCGATGATACTTCGTCACTATAGATATGAAATGTATACCTCAAAATGGTGCCAAATCGTGAAAAAATCAGCTCCAAATCTTCGTCTCGAGTGACCGGATTCAATTTACACACAAATAACACATTCTCCGGTGGTTTGATCTCAGCAAAGGGCAAATCGCCCACCATTTCCAGAGTTAAAGCACGCGCCGCAGCTTCTTCCTGCCGTTGTCTCTTCTCGAGCTCTTCTGGAGGCAGATCGGGAACCAGTTCCTCATCCTCCCCGATTCGACCAGATTTAAGCATCTCTTCGGTAGGAACTGGAGAGCGATCTGGTATTATTATGCCTTCAGGATCGTCGAAAGGATCATCTAAGATGATAGTGTGTTTTATTCTGGGCCATAGGATTAGAGGTAATTACAGACAATGAGCCGCTGGCAGCGTTGTCCGTACCTGATGTCCCGATACGGACGCCCGTCCTCATCGCAAAGCGCCTGATTGATCTTGTCCAAGACATCCAGTCCCTCTACGACTTTCCCAAATACGGCATGTTTCCCATCCAGGTAGTCCAAATGGTTTTCTGATAAAGTTATAAAGAATTGGGAACCAGCAACAGGAATGCCTGCTTCGTCCGCTGCTGTCGTAGCAAAAGAGACAGTGCCCTTCGTGCGATGCTTAAGTTTAGGATGTATTTCGGGGCTAAAGTAACGTCGAGCGGGTCCGTGGATGACCCTGAGCGGTCAGGTAAAGACAGACTTAGCAAATGTTCATCAAAAGAGCGCACCTCTTACAGTACACTTACCCCCAGACAGACTCACCGCCTTGCCCCGTTCCCAGAGGGTCTCCCGTTTGTGCCATAAAGTTCTTTTGGACATTATGAAAGAGGACGAAGTTGTAGTATTTTATCTTGCAAAGCTTTAGGAAGTTTGTGCATGCTTTTGGTGCTTTGGTCACCTCGAGGTCGATGACTATCTCCCCCAAAGATGTTTCCAGTAATACAGACATTACCACCTCGGTTCGGATGTCTCCTTAGTTGCTGGGAGATCAGGGCGAACCCATAACAGGATATTGAGCGAGCCAGTTGCTATGTCAACAAATGCGCAGCAGCGGACCCAATTGCACCGATGATGTCCTTCTTGCTGCCGGGGTTTGCAGATAGCTGCCTATCCCCTCCTGTCCTCGTCTTCTATGCCATTAACTAACTGGCTGCTGTTTTGCATATAGGATGGGAAGGAGCTTTGTTATAGTGGGCACCTCTTTATAAACCATTGAGAACGCACTCTGGAATCAAGCGACATATCTAACTAGCACAACATCAAATATCTTCTATGATTACAACTCTCCGGATATGCCACAAACAACTGCTGCATAACCGCCTATGCAAGTGACTATACACCAATGCTACTCAGGTTGAAGGTGTTTGCGCCCAATACAGGGGTATTTTGTCTGGCACGGATGCGACTTCCAAGGTTACGTTCTGTGTTTTCCAGTAGTGATTGTTGTCATCCTGCTGGTTTGCTCTATGTGCATCGTAAGCCGCTTTGCAGGATAATATAGGCCCAGGGACAGAGATGAATTGGCTGCCTACTGAAGGCTAGCAATATCTGGGAGTTGGAATCATAGAAGATATTTAATCCTCAAGATCGTAGGGGAAGCTCGTCCCCAGTCAGATCGGCCTCTATCAGGAAAAACATCGCGTTCGGGGAGGATCCCAGCACTCCTACGAGTTGAGCGACGTGGCGAGCCAGAGTCACACCATGGGCATAACGTCACTCGACAAGGCAAAAGATAGTTCGTTTGGACACCTCGATCTTGCGAAAAGAAAAGATTCTGCTACCGCTCATGCACTGCAGCTTTCCTACGGCTTCCTACCACTACTGATTGTGGACTTTAAATAGACGATAAGTTGCCTCTGGGAATAGATCTGAGCATGAAAGATAGTTAATTTTGGAAAATAAAAGAATAAAAGCTTCAGAGAAGTTGATGCAAGTTCAGACATTAATATTCATTATCCTTAAATCAAAGTGCTGGCTTGGCTGTGTATGTCATATTCATTGGGAACCTTATGAGTGACAAATGTTACGAACCTATTAGCATTCTTTTCAACTTCCATCGAAACTTCAATTCCATTGGGAAGAGAAGATCTACTAGCATGAATTGTGCTTCACATCAAACCCAAATATAAAAGCTACATCTGCCTGCTCTGGGGGAACTTCCCAATTGATGCTTTATAACACCAACCAATGTTCATCATCTTGTTATGTGCGCATGAGCATACTCATTCGCCCAACATACTTATCGTTATCCTTGACCCTGCGTGCATATCGCAGCCAAGATGTCAAGCAGTTGGGAGCTGTGCCACTGGTTAGATCATTTCCAAGTTAGAGTCGTTGGAAAGCATGCGCAACCATGAGCCCGCCAGAACTCACCGTTGGGTGAAATCAACGCCATGGTACAAAGCCTGAACTTCTCTAGTCTCGCCTCCATAGGGAAAATAGTACGAAGCCCGTCTCTTCTGATCCCACATCTTTCTGTACCTGGTAGAAATGACCCATGCACTATGCTCTATCCGTCGGCTCCTTGCCCTAAACCCAGACCACTTGAATAGATATTCGGTATATAAACTTTATGGCCCTGAAGGCAGCTGGTATTCGGGCGGTGGTGTTTGATAAAGACAATACCATTACTGCCCCGTATGTAGAACAGGTTCACCCTACTTTTGCGAAGTCTTGGGAAAGCTGCAAAGACACGTTTGGGCAGGACCGACTGCTTATTGTTTCGAATTCCGCTGGTACACCCGATGACGTGGGTCATAAGAAGGTAGCCCCTCTGCAAAGTTTGCGACCTGTCATTGGTAGTAATGTAGAATATCTATTCTAGGCTGCTACCGTGGAGGCCGCATTGGGTATGTCATCCTTGGGTATCGGTTCTCCTATTTGTTAATGCTCACATGAAAAGATAGGAATTCCAGTTCTTCGACATACATTAAAGGTAACAGCTAGCTCTGATCATACATAAGCGCCGCTGGACGCTCAAACGGATACGCACATTACCCCAGAAACCAGCCGGAGGGGATGCGCTTTCATCATACTTCGGCTGCCCTTCTCATTGCATAGCAGTAGTCGGTGACCGTGCGTTCACTGACATCGTTTACGGAAATCTCAACGGCATGCTCACTGTTCATGTCACCAAGATTGTGACTGAGGAAGGGGATAACAAAATCGCAGCGTTGGTAAGTCATTCAATAGCGGCTGCAGACCGTGTTGATCACCGCATGAATGTGCTCTGTGTAGATTCGAAAATTGGAGTACCCATTGGTGAACTGGCTAAGACAAAGGGGGTTATCACCTCCACACCATCCGGCATTTGAAAAGCATAATCCACAAGATTTTGTGCTGGAATCATAGTATTACATTCATGGTTAGAAACAACGTTAGTGGGAAGCAGCTGGAGACGGTATATGAAGAGGGGCAAACTCCACTCCCGCGTCATAATACCCGCCTGGGTAATGTCCTTCGCACCTCGTCGTTACTGGATTTCGAACTATGTCCCAGAGGCGCAGGCACATTAGGGCCATTGACCAAAGGGAAGGGTCCGAACGACTGTGTGTATAGGGATCTAAGTGGATATGCGACATTAAAATTTGGCCATTGCCTAATGGACGCCCCGTGCCTGACTAGCAATACACAGCCGCACTGAGATTGAGTATCTGACGTGCAGGTATTTACAATTCTGTTCCATGTAAACAAGTGTGAAGACAGTTCCCTCCAATCTTTTGCTGTACTATCATTGTTCCATATCCTCAGTTGCATCAGCGAACTGATCGGCTGGATTTGAATTTCCGCCAAGGTTTCCGAGGGGGTTTGGTCCTTCGAATACTGAGTCAAGATGCTGCAACGCGGCCTGCGCCCATATAGGCGGGGTTAACTTCGTAGTACGATGGTACCTGAATTGATATCATACCTCCTGCAGGCCGTTCAACTCTTGTGGATCATCAGGAGTGTAGTACCAATCGCCTTCTTCATTATCATCCTCTTCCGCGTCAGGATCGGGATGCAATGCCGCACAATCGGATATCGCCTGGAACATTGCATCCACTATATGATTTTGTCAGCATCGCCAAGGATTGCCCCACTTCGAATGTAACAACGTTCAATACGTACACGCAGTTAGATCATCTGGAACCAATCTAAACTCGCACGCCTGCTCCTCCTCCCCATCGCTCTCCCCGTCGTGATCCATGGCATCGGTGCGTTCCTCTCTGACTATCACCATACTATCCAACTGCCCGTATACGTGAGGTTTTCCTTCAGTCAAAGCATCGCCTTGACGTGAAATGGCATGTATGCCGATAGAGGGATAATCGATTGCAATAGATAGTCGCTTTTCGGGGCTGTACCAGACGAGTTGACTATGATATCGGTTCGAATAGGCAGGATCAACACAAAATACTTTTATTCATGTTTAAATTTAACTTGTAACATGCGCACCTTTCTGCAATATACAAGTCTCCCTTCCCTGGAATCAGATTGCTGGAGAGGGGCGGATCGAACAATAATGAGACACTTTTCTGCAGGTGTCGAACTCGCGGAGATGTTGATTCCGCTGAATGCAAGTGACCGTTTACGCCGTTCGCTGGAGATCTCCAGGCTTCCTCAGGCACCAGAAGGTCGGGAAGTTCGTTGGATATGTGTATAGGCATTTTTTTATTGCGTAATTTTTTGGAAAGGAACTGTGAACAAGTACGAGATCACAAAGGCTCGACAGGTTCAAGCTAAGTGGGAAGCCATGCCAATCGTCGGTACAAACACGTGACACATTCGTTCCACATCGAAAGCACTTGGGATGCCAGTTTTGACCAGATTGACTTTCATGCACTAACCCATTGCAAACACACGAGTGAACTAATTGGCAAGGAAAAGAGTAACGTTGACATCAACGCAGGAATGGAACTCTGAGAAAAAATCTGGCGAAAGAGATCAGCTCCCAGACGGGGAATCGAACCCCGATCTTCCCCGAACTGCCTATTGACAGGGGGAGATACTAACCATTATACTATCTGGGACTGTTATTCTGGTAAGGCAGCATTTAATATTATGGGATCCATTATTACGTGGACAACCTTCAACTGACGGACACTTTGCACTGCACTTTCCAACAATTTGCAAAATAACCTTATTGATAACAAATAGGGTAGTATACACCAATGAAACAGTCATCTAAATCGTCTACAAGCTCAAATTACGAAAAGGGAATAATAGGATTCATAGCTTTGGTAAACTACATTGTACTTGTAATAACCAAGCCAAACGGTAATCAAGTAATGTTGCAGCAACCCTTTTCATTCTGGCACATCTTGTTCCGCATGATTGCACTGCACTTCAATATCAAAAAAGGCAGATGCTGACCGCATACTTGGACTTTTTCCGAAAGACTTAATTTTGCCAGCTTCGTCATATGACTCGATAGATGCTGGACTCGTCAGAGGATTGCTGATTTGGCCTGCCTGTACGAGAATATCGGTGTTCTCAGCTTCAGCAGGACCCGGCGTAAGGACTCCTTCTGGCAAGATAAATGGATCCATGGCCGGTATAGGTGAATCTGGCGTTGACGGTAATGCAGCAACGCTCTGTGCAGCCGCAGTACGATCTTGGTAGATCTAAATAGTGCAGATGTTGTAATGAGCTGTCCATCATTTTCTTTGAGATAAAAAATACAACCTTCCGCTCCTCGGGTGTGAGTGCGTTCCATAGTTTTCCGATAGCTTGAACTATTTCTCTTGAAGAGAGATTAGGATTATCTTGCTGCACCATGTGTCTAAGAAAGGTTGAGCTTAAAAGGGTACAATCAAATATTAAACTATTAAGCAAGAGAATGCAGTCACCTTTTCTCCTGGAAGAAAAGTACGTATGGTCCCTTACGTCTCTTGTTGGTATGATTTTCACTGCCTATCCCAGTACGAGCTCTCCCTCTGTTTGATGATGATTGGCCTTTGGAAGGAAGGAGTCTCCTTTTTCTACCCTTCTGCTTGCTGATACCCGTCAAAGGCGAGCTCTTGAAATCTTCCTCAGCCTGGCTATGCAGCGATGAGCTCATTCTTCTGTAGAGTCCGTATGGGCGATATCTGGCTTTGTTATCTGTCGTGATCGACGACGGATAGAAGCTTTCTAGTGGGTATGCTGCCCATCGAGAGGATACCTCGATAGTAGATAGTTCATAGAAACTTACGATCCATACCTTGGTATTGAAAGTTGCCTGTGTTTATGTTGGGAAAGAATAGGGAAGATACGTGGGAAAACCATTGGGATGCCCTTAAATAGACCTGCCAGCCACTCTCCACGTGTTTGCATTCCAGCCTGGTTTAAGAGGGTGAGTGGAATGCACAAAACGCGCCGTTCAACAAGTCGCAACCAAAACAGGGAACTTCACTTCTGTCTTCTTGGGTACATAGGGCTTGCCACGTATACTTTACAACGTTGCCGCGGTGCGAACTAGAAGCCCGCGACATCCTCGACGATCCCGAGCGAGGGAGCTTATACGGCAACACCAACAAAGATGCTGTCCAAATTCGAAACAAAGGTGAGCGACAGGACAAAATGCTTTAGTCGCCTTTGAAAGTTGGCAAGCTGACGATGACCACGATGCTCAGTCGAACAGAGTCAAAGGGTTGGCCTTTCACCCCAAGCGACCATGGATTCTGGCAGCGCTTCACAATGGTGCTATTCAGCTCTGGGACTACAAGATGGGAACGCTCATAGACCGGTTTGACGAACACGAAGGTAAATATTGAAGAACGCGCAGAGGATGAGTTCGGGGGGACTGTTGGTCCAGGCCGCTTTTCATGCTTTTGGTGCTTGCTGTGAAATGCAAAATGCTCACATTATGTGTTTGGAAATCATTGGCGCACATTCAAATGGCATTTGACATCTCTTGCTAGGTCCTGTGCGAGGAATTGCGTTCCACCACACTCAGCCTCTCTTCGTATCCGGTGGGGACGATTACAAAATCAAAGTGTGGAATTGGAAAACGCGGAGATGTCTCTTTACCCTCAATGGCCACATTGACTATATTCGTACTGTCTTCTTTCACCATGAGAGTCCGTGGATCATCAGTGCATCTGATGATCAAACCATTCGTATATGGAATTGGCAGTCCCGGAATTGTATTTCTATTTTGACCGGGCATAACCATTACGTTATGTGTGCGCAATTCCACCCCAAAGACGACCTGGTTGTTTCCGCCTCTTTGGATCAGACGATAAGAGTATGGGACATTTCAGGTATGGCACTGTAGAAACTGTCTCCGGAGACTTTTGAAAGCATCATATTAATTTTTCTTATTGCTGACAGGTCTCCGAAAGAAGCATGCCGCTGCGCCAAGTAGCATCACTACCGATTATGAACATCGCCTGGGAGCTGCAGGCCAAGCTGATATCTTTGGCAACACGGACGCCATGGTGAAATACGTATTAGAAGGTCACGATAGAGGAGTCAACTGGGCAACCTTTCATCCAAATCTGCCGCTCATTGTCTCGAGTTCGGATGATCGAACTGTGAAGTTGTGGCGCATGAACGGTATGCAAGTCCTATAATAATTTAATGTGTCTCGTGCTTTGCTCACTTTAGCGACTACTGTAGAGACAAAAGCTTGGGAAGTGGATACCTGCCGTGGACATTACAACAACGTCTCGTCCGTATTGTTCCATCCTCGACAGGATCTCATCATTAGTGATTCTGAGGATAAGACAATACGGATATGGGACATGACGAAGAGGACTGCTTTGCAAACCTTCAGACGGGAGCACGACAGGTTCTGGATTCTTGCAGCGCATCCAGAGCTGAACTTGTTCGCAGCTGGTATGGACGAAGAATGCCAGTGTAACTCCACGCTGGCTTAACCCCTCTGTTTAGGTCATGATAGCGGCCTAATCGTGTTTAAGCTTGAGCGTGAGAGACCGGCCCATGCAGTTCATCAGAACGTGCTATATTACGTGAAGGACAAATTTATTCGCTCTTACGATTTTTTGAGCTCGAATGACGTGCCAGTCATTACCATTCGCCGCGGCACTACTGCGCAAACAAGTCCTCCGCGGGCGCTTTCCTATAATCCGGCTGAGCACTGTGTTCTCATCACCACGGTATGTGATTTTACTTGCCATTGTACTGCCGTAACAACAATCATCAACAAGACGCCGATTGCAGCCACAGGACGGTGGTTCGTATGAACTCTACAATTTGCCTAGAGGACAAGGAAGCGGAGAGTCTGTGGAGTCAAAGCGTGGTGTCGGTCAGTCAGCCATCTTTGTGGCCCGCAACCGGTTTGCGGTCCTCGATAAGCCAGGGCAGGTGGGTGTCAACTCGGCAACATTGTTAGGCCGATATCCTGCCTATTGATAGTCTTTGTTATGCACAGCAAATTTACATCAAAGATTTGAAAAACGAGACGGTGAAGCAGTTCAAACCGACTGTAACCGTGAACGACATCTATTACGCCGGTGCCAAAAACATTCTGTTAATCACCTCAACTTCAGTTGTCCTCTATGATATTGAGCTTCGAACATCAGTTGCTGAACTAACTGTGAACGGCGTCCGATATGTGGTATGGTCTCCGGATATGTCTATGGTCGCATTCCTAAGCAAGCACAGTAAGTTTGGTTTGGTCTACTTCGCACTCTAAGAGCATTGCTAATGGATACGTGTCTCCAGCTATTGTCATTGCCAACAAGCAACTTGAGCAATTGTGCTTGATTCATGAGACCATTAAGATCAAGAGTGGTGCTTGGGACGAAATTGGTGTGTTCCTCTACTCGACCTTGAATCACATCAAATATGCCTTGCCACAGGGGTAGGTTTGCTGTGGCGTCGATCGATCGAGATGTGTCTCTCATGTTTGTTTTTGCTTTCAGCGACAATGGAATCATTCGTACTGTAGAGCAGCCAGTGTATCTGACAAAGGTTAAGGGAAAGAACGTCTCTTGCTTGGACAGGGACGGAAAGGTTCGCGCTATTGCAATCGACCCTACCGAGTACCGTTTCAAGCTGGCCTTAGTGCGCAAGAACTACAATGAGGTACTGCACCTCATTCGGACTTCCAATCTGGTCGGACAGTCCATTATCGCATACTTGCAGAAGAAAGGCTACCCCGAAGTACGTTACTCTATTCAATTAGCTCGCTAAGTATTCTTGTGCTCACTCCGTAACTTTTGAAAAGGTTGCCCTGCATTTTGTGAAGGATAATAAGACTCGATTTGATTTGGCCATTGAATGCGGTAATCTGGGCGTAGCCCTTGAGACGGCAAAAGCGCTTGATCGGGAAGAGTGCTGGCAGCAACTTGCGGCCGAAGCTCTCAAGCAAGGAAATCATCAGGTAGGTTTGTTGCAGTGACCATGGGTCATTTCGGCCTCTGATCAACCTTTGCACATGTTAGGTTCTTGAGATGGCATATCAAAGGGTGAAGAACTTCGAACGTCTTTCGTTCCTTTACCTTGTTACGGGTAACGTGGATAAGCTGAAGAAGATGCTGAAGATCGCTGAAATGCGAAATGACACCATGTCGCGATACCATAATGCTTTATACCTTGGTGACGTTGAAGAACAGATTCGGTTGCTCAAGGAAGTTGGACAGTGTGAGTTTTTCATGTTGTCTTAGTATATATCATCCATGCTGATCGATCACAATAGTGCCTCTGGCATATCTTGCAGCGCAAACACATGGGCTAACTGACGAGGCTGCCGAGATCCTTGCAGCCGCAGGATTGGATGCCCCACCCGCGGGAATCGCTCCCGGTCAGCTTCTGAAGACGCCAACGCCAATCCTGCGTCAGCAAGACTCGAATTGGCCCCATCTTCCTGTTGCGCGGAGCTTCTTCGAAGAAGGGCTACTTGGAGGTGCACCTGTAGCTAGTGCGACAAAGGTAGAAGATCAGGTTATGAAGGATGTCGCGGGCTGGGAGGATGCCGAGGACATTGATGTTGGAGCACGCCCAGGGCTCGAAGTAGAGAATGGTCAAATAGATATTGACGTTGGAGGTGGGGAGGGATGGGACTTTGAGGGAGATCTTGACATTCCTAGTGCTCCGCAAGGTGTACCGAGCGCCGCTTCAGAGACGGCCACAGGCTTTACACCTCCCACCGCGGGTACCAACTTTGCAGACCTCTGGGTTCGCAATTCGGCATTAGCCGCAGATCACGCGGCTGCAGGGTCGTTCGAAACTGCCATGCAGGTAAGAATGCTATCACCCAATCAAGATGCACCAATAATTCGTGATTGACTTCTCTGCTTTACAGTTGTTGAATAGGCAAATCGGTGCTGTTAATTTTGCATCCTTGAAACCCCTGTTTCTGACCATGTGGCAAGCGTCGAAAGCTTACATGCCTGCAAATGTATCGCTGGCACCATTATCCCTACCGCTCCAGCGTCAGACAAAAAAGCAGCTTCCAGTGATCCCGTACACCCTTGGCGGTCTGCTCGGAAAGTTACAGGAGGCGTACGCGGCAACAACAAACGGAAGGTAGACATGGTATATTTGATCTGTTATTGCCAACGTGCTAACGTTGAGATCAGATTTTCAGATGCACTCAGTCTGTTCAAAACGATCCTCCAACACATTATCTTCACCGTGGTGGAGCGAGAGGAGGAGGCCACAGAGGTACATCAACCAAAGTTGTTGCTTGAATTTTCTGGTGCATGCTAAAACATATTTTTTTTTGAGATTCAACAGCTCATTGACACCTGCCGGGAATATGCACTAGGTTCACAAATGGAAATAGCGCGGAGGAATCTGAACCAAGAGACGGATGCAAAACGGGTCATAGAGCTAGCGGCTTACTTTACCCACTGTCAATTACAGCCCGCCCATCTGCAATTTACTCTGCTTTCAGCAATGGTATCTTGCTACAGAGCAAGGAATCTTGCATCCGCGCTAGTGTTTGCCCAACGCCTCCTTGAACTGAATCCAGCGCCCGGTCTTGCTCAAAAGGTTTGTGCAATTCCTTCATTTGATTCGTTTCCAAGCGACTTTTACTTAACCGCACGTTACATCATTTTCGTTTCAGGCGCGCAACATGCAAGCATATTGTGCCCAAAATAATCCAACAGATGCTATTCAAGTCGAGTACGATCAGCACAATCCGTTTGTGACATGCGCCATCTCATACACCCCCATCTACCGCAACAGTCCGTCCGTGCAATGCCCATACTGTCGGGCATCCTACAAGCCAGAATATAGTGGGGGGTTGTGTCAAGTATGTGAGATTTCCCAAATCGGGGCGACGGCTACTGGATTGAGGAACATGTTGTAGGGCCAGAGTTGTTTGGGCGGTTTGGTGATCAATCAGAGAGAGAGAGATGGTGGAGGATGGCGGGGTCGCGCGTTGTCGACGTCATATCTAGTGCTGTCGCGACAATTATTTCTAAAATATTTTGAAGGAAAGCTATGATTCTTAAAAAGCCCTATCAGATATAACTTGCTGGATGCGTGCACAGTTTTAAAGTGTCAAAGTGATCGTCCAAGCCACTCTTACGTGACTAGAGTTTGACGCGGTGTCCGACGCGCCCTCGCTTCCCAAGGTTCCCGCATTGAGTTGTTGAAACTGCGTCGACGCACTCCAGTCGGTCCGCTACTGACCATTTTAGGGCACGAGCAGTCAACCTAGATGAAAGAGAATTGAAGGAGAACTTTTGAAATCCACTACATCTCCCGTTTGTCGGACCATGTCCACCAGCGTCCCCGACACCAAAGTCGACAATGCCTCCCTTCAAAACATATTTCTAAGCAACAGACCTACTTCCAACAACGAAGAAGATGACGCATGGGACGATGTTGAGCTTCCAGATGACGGGCTAGGAAATGATATCTTTGCAGAAGCTCCGCCCGATGAGTTATTTGATGGAATGGGATGGGATGAGGATCCTGTGCTAGCCCTTGATGACCTTGGTGGGTCAGTAGAGTCTGGAGTCGGGGATATCAAGATGGAGACGGATGAGAGCAAAAGTGGAAAGGAGTGTGATTCTGTTACGGGTACAGGCCGTACTGGGGAGGATCTTGAGGATTTGGATCTGGATCTTGAAACTTTGGAGATTCCCGTTGCACAGAGTGAGACGCAACGTCATGAATTGGGTGGTGCGGATGCATTTGGGGGTATGGTGTGCGATTTGTCATTGTCGTTCAAGAACAAGTCCAAGGGGCCTATGCTGATTCCGGCGTGGGAGGGGACGACGTTTGATTTGCCTTTGGATTCAGCTGTTGCTGCGAGTCACCCGGATTTTGAGGGTCCGGA